TACTGAAGACGATTTCTCGTATTTTCTTTTTCTTAAGTAAGTAATCTAGCACACAAACTTTTATTTTTGAGCCCCATGGCCCACGTCTTGCTACCCGATATCCTATCGACCCCGATATCGCTCCCAACGAGTTTGGTTCAGTTTGCAAGGTGATGAGAGCGAGTTCTGGTAGTGTGAGCTCATGACAAGCCAACATATTTGTATGACATACAGAGCTGGCTTGCTTCTTCATACTGGGATGAGAGGACAGTTTTTCCTTTGAGGGGCAAAAGTGGACAGTAGAAGCTGCTCGTTATCCTACTGTAGGCGATAGTAAATCATAATCATGCCGTAGAACTTTGCTGAGTTCCTCGCCCTTTCCATTTTGTCTTGTTATCTCACACTTACTTGTTTTTGAAATGCATAGCTAAGTAGCGGGCAAGAGCAATGTGATGTAGGGTACATAGAAAGAGATCTTCCTCTTGCATTTCTTATTTTACAATACATAGTTCAGGCTCATAAGGCTCATCCCACTGATGCCCCGATTCCTGTGCCGTATACCAGCAAACTTGGTCAGCCACTTATGGCTGGCCAAACCCTTGACATTCATGGAGCCATCAATTCTGATGCCACCAGGTCAGTTCACTTCATCACTGATACCTCTACTCAGTCTTCGGTCCTGAATCAGAGTGTGCTTCTAGTCCTTAAATGTTGATATTACCGTTTCCCATCCATTGTTACGGTATCGGGCGTTTGATGAGTGGTGGGAAAGGTGCTAGCGCTGCGCCAAAACTCAAGAGTAACACAGGCCCCGACTGACTTCATCGATGAGGACTGCATTCCTCTCAAAGTAATTATTTACAGTGTTGAAGTGAATATGCTCCATGGTGCGGCTATGATCGATCCCGGAGATGCAGTGCTGCACATCAAACTTCTCTTCGATGATGGCAAGATTGTCATGAATTCCTACATGGTACTTTTTTCTCGAGATTTTTCAAAAAAAGAGACGAAAAAGATCACTCACAAATCCCTAGAGAACGGGGTGTGGATGTCGATTAGAAGTTCGATGATGAGGGACCCCAGAGAAAGTTGGGCAGGACTCCATCACCTTGATCCTGCAGAACCTGGCGCGTCTGGTCACTTAGCTGGCCCACATAGCCTAGAGGCAGTTGGCACGATAAATCCCAAATACGAGTAGGGTATACGTCTGGCAGGACGGATATTCCGACCAGGCCATGAAGCAGGTGCTGTAGCGCTTTCTCAAGGAACGTACTCTTGGAAGGCCCTTATGAGCTACAATTACCAAGCACGCGGACGTCACTCGCGAATGCCCAGATGACACGACGCGTACTGCTGCTCAAATTGCATCTCGACGTACCATATGAAGGGAAGGTGATTGACATTAGGCCGGCTCGACCGGTAGACTGCCGATATATGAATACCGTACATGTACATATGTACATAGCAGCAGTATCCACCGAAGCGGTTATTGGCAAGATACCTACGGAAAACTCGTCTGAAATCGCCTTTTGAGTCATTAAGAACGAAGGTTTTTCTTCGCAGGTTTTTGACCATTTCACTTCGTTTTTTCGCCATTTTGCCTTTGTATACCCCCCCCTGCTGCCACTTTAGACCAAGTACCAAATTATTTTGCCTTGAGCCTTCATTTAGAGCTCCTTTAGGATTGGGCAGTTCCATTCTAGTTCCAGGCATTTCATTCGTTCTTGGTCCATTCTATGAGGGCAAGGTTGTCATGACTTTTAGACCGTAGCAGTATGCAGTTTGAGCGCGACTCAGCTTAATTAGTCCTGCGAGAGCAGCTGATGTACAAGTCAGTTTCTCTCATTTCCCAATCGTGTCTGGTTCTAAAGGAACAAACCCGGAGGGGATGGGCAGTCTGGCTGGTTGAGGATTATACTGATCCAAAGTCCTAGTGGGCGCAGTTCGGCGACAAGGGGGGGGGCATTCTGCACTTTCGTTGCTTCCTTAGTTCCGGTTTACATGTCTGACTCTGATGAAACCTGTGAACTCTCTTGCGAAATGATGAAACCTATGAACTCTCTTGTGAAGCTGGAGCAAGGTCGTCAAGCCATCATGGTAAAACCTGTCAACTCGAGAAGAGGCTGTCTAGACAGGTCGACACGTCGATGGGAAGAAACAAGAGTTCAAAATGTCACCCTCCCCACCCGTAGCCGAACTGCGCCGTCTTACAATTAGTGACCTCCTGACCGTGCGCTTGCTAAGTTTCGCGCCAACCCACCTGCTCTTTTCTTACATATGTCCTAAATTATCTTGTAGCCTAGTCGAGAATATCGGTGTTATGTTTTAGGGCAAAGTCTGGGGAAAGGAAGAACGCGTGTCGATGCCATTCAAGAGGGGGGAAGCATTTGATCTCAGAGTCAGGTAATTCTCCTCGCTCTAACGTTTTCTTTCTCTAAGTCAATATCCTTTCAAAGATTGAAAAAATAATTTGTCCATTTTCTGGGTGCATCCGTCAATGAGGCCCATTGTCGCCACGATCTACACTCCTTATCCCTGAGCCAGAGTAGGCGTGGCATTTGAACATGGCACGGAACTGGTTACTCGTGGAATATTCCAGTCTGGGACAACTGTCATCTTGTTCTGTGTTGGACAGAGACACGACAACAATTGTGTCAAGATGAAAATATCTCACCAGAAGCATAGACACCTTCAGGTTAAGTTGAAACATGCGGCCACGCCTACCCGGTCTCAGGGATTTCGAGTATACGTGAGCAGGAAGAGGGCTATAAAACGGTGTTGTAAATGTACTCAAGTAGGAAAACGCCTTCTTACGCCTTTGGAAATCGTGACATGTGAACTTTCCTCTATGCCATCCTGTTTCTGTGCCTTATAAAGCTTCAGCAAAGCTCCTGTTTGCCCTCATTCCTAACGAGTCTCAATTCCCTGCCTGCTGGAGCTTTATAAGGAGAACGATCCCAGTGGAATCTATCTTTTTCTCAGCAAAAGGTTATTCCTCCATCGATGATGAGGACACATCTGAGCAGTGAAATTGGACTATGGATTTGGACTTGCTAAGGAACCGTGTGGAAGAGAGTCCAAACTACCAGTCAACTGTGAAGCACTATTGATGCTTCTCACACAACTGTTTTTTATGTGCCGAAGTAGAGCGGCAAGGTCCGAAAACTGGGCGGGTGGGTTACCCACGCACTGGCGCAGCGCTACAAGTAGAATGTGAGCAGCATCCCAGGAATGCATTGACATACACTCGAAATCCATAGGATGCGGTAGGCGTGGCTGCGTACTTCAACTAAACGTGGCGGTGGCTGTGCTTTGGTGAGATATTTTCATTTTGAAACAATTGTGGTCATGTCTCTGTCCACCATAGAACAAGATGGCAGTTGTCTCGAGTTGAAATATCCCACGAGTAACCCATCCTATGCCATGTCCAAATGCCACGCCTACCCGACTCAGGGATAAGGAGTATACTTCTGCTCACAGTACTGCACCCTGCGAAAGTTCCCGGTGCTGATAATCTTCCAAGGGTGCAATGTAGAGGAGGCCCCTGCATCTGTTAGGTGAAAGGTACAGGGATGGGAAAACCAGTAGTGCCGAATCCGAAATGTGCTGCACAACTTC